CAAAATTGTCTACATTTAACTATGTTTCAGTTATTTACATTATATCAAAATCCTTCTTTCCTACCAGTGCTCTATAGTCATCTATTTTATTTCTTATTCTTCTAGCATTAAAGTACTAAGAATTAAGCCTACCATTAGAACTACTTTTATACTTGGTTCATACGCTACTTTTCTCTATATCTTATTTTTTCTGCATTTAGCCCTAGTTTAAAACTTCCCTTACAGCTGAGTTAATAGCTTTTGCAAATGAGCCAGCCTTTACCATATTTAAATGTAAACCAGCTGTTCCAAAACGCTCCCTTCTCCCACTGAACTGTTCCCACAAATCCATCCAGCAATCTTATCATCCTTACATATTAACCTAAGCCTAGCATTCAGCTCTAATGATCTACTTATAATTTCAACCCCACAATTAATTCTTGGCAGTATCACTGACACAATTAAGTTATGGACCATTTTTTAAATGCCTTGATCAACCCCCTGTACTTATCAATTAGCTTTTGTGATCTACCTTTCCCTACATGATTAGCCCCTACATGCACAACTGCATTATTGGTAACCTGCTTTATTATATCTCTTGCTCTTTCCAATGTAGGAGTAGCATAATCTAACTGTTTTCTCCTTATATACCCCATTGGCTATCCTATCCACAAGACTTAAGACAATTGTCAAAGAATTATCTATTACTATAACCTCAAGTTTATTATTCACATCCTTCTCTATCCATTTTGTTTTCCGTCCTTCCAATAGTTCCTTATCTGCACAAGCCAAGGGCAGAAATCTTTTGCTCAATAGAACATGCTCATTACAGTTAAATCCACTACTTTTAGCGCTAATAGTACTGTTTCTAATGTCTGGAAAGTCATTGTAGCTGATATATCCCTTGCATGTAAAAGCTTAAGTTCCTCTTGAAATACTGCTGCCATTTCCCAAAGTTGACACTTTTCTTTATCTGTTGCTTCTAATTAGGATAGCCTCCAATTTCTTCTCCAATATTCGATCTCTACAGACAAATTGCACATCTTCACAACTAGCTTCCTTAAAAGTAAATACTATTCCTGACTTCCCAAATAAGACCCACTCATTTCAGCTCTCACTCCTAGTAAACTGTGATTGCTTAACTCCTACACTAGCCTTAAGCATTGTATTTGTAGCCTTGGAATAAATACTCAACACTAAATATAAGTAGCCTATTGACAATACTGTTAAGCCTAATGTTTGAGAATCAAATATATTACAATATTTATCACTACTTTACCTTCATACTAAAGTAATTATGTTTACCATTAAAATACAGAAGTGACAAATAACTAGTCATTAATTGATATTCATGTAATAATACAATGTATATAGCCTGATTTAGAATTTACCTATAAGTGGAATTTAAACTAATGGATGTAAAGTCAAGTACCCCAGTTTATCCTTAAAATATGCAGAAGCAACCAACTAATCTTCAGATTGTATTTACTTAATAAAAACAATGTACTTAACCTGTTTTATGATTTACCAGTAAGTTTAATTATAGGAAGGCTTAAAGTACAATTACACGCCCTAAGCCTAATCTAACATTATAGTACAGTTTACACCACTAAAATTTCATTTAAAGCTTTACTATTTTTATTTACCAATCTTCTTAAAACAAGTTTTTCTTTTGTTAATTAACTCCAATTACTACAAATAAGAATATTAATATTAAATGATAATCAAAAATCTTCAAAAGTTTAGCTTTCTAATGTCTTTTCTCTGCCATAGCACCCTAATTAAATTTTTTGTGTACAACAGACTTGTAATATTTACTGAAAGCTTACCAAATTTCATGAAGATACTCTGTGAAACATTACACTCAATCATCTATTGTTTACATTAGCTTTATGAGAAACAGCTAATGGGCTCCCATTGAAATATCTTGCTCTTGATGCAAGGATTACCGTATTAATGAGTACAAATTAAAATAACAAATCCATTAAATTAAAAGGAAACAAATGAGAAAAGCTTAAAGTATTAAGATAAGGAAACTGAAACTATCTGATTAAAAGTGTAATCAGTGCAGAGGAATAAACTGTATTATTCATTTTATTTCATATTTGTCTACTTTTCATTTCACTATGCAGTGATAATTTTCCTAAAGTTAGTGTCAGGGTAGAGAAAATAAGTAGTAAAATCCAAAGTTTTACCAAATAACTTCAATAAAAATAATAATTCATTTAACAGGTTATAGAGGTTAGATAAATGAAATAAGAAAAATGTAGAGTGAAAAGAAATATCTTATTCTTAATATGAAAGGCACTTTTCACTCAGACTTCACTCAGTAAAGGCTTGAGAAATTCACAAACAAATATTTCATCAAAAACACTTTATTAAAAATCTAATTTTTTGTTGTTTAAAACAGACTTATAATGTTTACTGAAAGTCTGCCAACTTTCATGACTATACTCTTAGTATATTAATAATTATAATAAACACAAGCAAAAGTGCCTATCTCCAGTGATGGGAAAAGTACAAGTTAATCTAACAAAAGTACCTGTCCTAAGCAAAAAGAAAAGTTTCAGTTAATCTATCAATTTAAATTATTTCATGGACTTTAAAAAGGTTAATTGTGTTGCACTCTTGGTTTCACTAAAAGCCAAAGCTCTGACCTACTTATACTGCCCACTGCAAAAGGTAATTGTTGAGGATTTCAGTCATGCTAAGAACCACTCAACAATAACATACGGTAAATCTACATTTTTATTCTTTAAGGTATGTCACATTTTGAAATGTGAATGATAGTGTGATTGATGCTGAACAATTTAGTGTAGAATATATTGCTTGCAAAATAAAATCTGGCATCAACATTATCCATGCCTGTTCTCCCAGCATTTCAAAAGTGGATGTTTAACTTTGCTTGTGTAGCTTTTCAAATGCGGCATGGGAAGCAGCAGACAAATGCTCATACAGACATCACAGTTCGCAACATATATAAGATTATTATGTACAGCTTTACAGATATTATGTCAGTCAATCTGAGCAAGCCCATGAATATATGGTTTAATTAATGTTCAATAACATTTTTATTTTATTTTCCCATAAACATAGTGTTATGCCAAAACCACAGATTCTCCTAAAAAAATAAAACGTTTACCTTTTGGTCCAATGACTCCTTTTACAAAAGCAGGTTCTCCTTTTTGTCCCTTCTGACCATCACGACCTGGAATCCCATGTTCACCCTTGGTAAAACGACAGAATCAAGTTTAAATATGTACAATAGAAAACACAGAAACCAAAACTATGTTGACTTTCTTTAACATTTAAATTATATTTAGAGATAATCAGTATTAAAAAAAAAACTTAATGACAATTGATTTAAGCAAGCACTGTGAATTAAATTCTAAATGGCATTCAGGTGAGGCAATAGCCAAAACACATTTCTTTTTTTAATGCTCTATACAAGTAACATTTATGTCCTTACATCTTCACCAGGTGATCCAATTAAACCTGGAAGTCCATCATTCCCTTTTTCTCCTGGAAACCCATGAGGTCCAACAGGCCCACGTAGACCTGTAAGTCCTGGAGCTCCAATCAATCCTCGTTCCCCTTTCTCACCCTTCTGACCTGGTTGACAGTCATTACAAATTCCTGGTTCTCCTGCAGATAAAAACATTAAAATAATACTTAACAATAATACTTACATTTCTAGAATCTGATAAGATAAATAGTATTAAGCACAAGAAGCTATACAAGTCACAATATAAATATATTCTGTATTTTCTATAAAAAGTGTCTTACACTGAAAGTTAATTTTTATGCATTTCTCTTCTTCCCTATTTTATATTTGATATATTTTTTTTAAGTTCTGTCTAGTTTTTATTTATTACTTAATTTACTTTTTAACAATATTACCCACGTGTTTGATTTCTATTTCTTATTTTTATATCCTTAATAAAAGTTTTAATTAATGATCAAACTAAGTCTTTTTGAGATTGAAACCTACATTATATTTTTCTCAATTATATTGCAGTGTAGTTGTTCTTGATTTTAACCCATCTAATGAGAAAGTTTTCAACAGATTTTTCCAGTAAACACAAATTGTAACAAAAAACACAAAATACAGTAAACAATGAAATTATTTGTGTAAAATGTTAAACTTTGTTTTATACATTTTAGTCAAAAAATAATTATTATATCGATAAATAATGAAAGTGATTTTAAATGAAAAACAAGTTATTTCAAGGATGTGAGAATTAAAAGAATTTAAAGCAGCAACATAATATGAATATATTCTATAAGATAGTGAAATACTTATATGCCTGAAGTATATTATAGCACAGACAACTTTACAACAATAAGTGTTTGTATTGCCTCATGGTAATTAATATAAAAAAACACACTATAGAAACATTTAAGAATTTTAAATAACATAAAAGGTATATGAAAAAGCAGTGTGCATAGTTTCAAATAAGATTTTGCCAAGTATCAGAGTCATCAAATAAAATTACCAGTTTGATTTAGTGTCAGAAGTTAAATTTTTCCTACACTGAAAATGTATTTCCAATAATACTTACCTCCTTTCACACTTATAGCTATTACTTGACTGCCAGAGTTTCTTCCTTCGCCCACCTAAGCATTGGTCTGATGTTTTCTTGCTTGCTCCAGTCTTTTATACCACATTTAATTGCCCTTGGCAATATTTGTCTCATGACAGTCTCCACCTACATCAATGCACCCTCTATCCTGGTACCATATATAAGCACTTCATTCAGATAATGTTATCACTTTTTTGAGACTGACTCTATCCCAGTCTCTAACAATGGCTCTTAGGGAGGAGGAAGGGTGGGAGAGGAATTTAGGAAAATGTTAACTTCCAAAACATACATACCTCCACTCCCACTTTTAGCTAGAATCCTACATTGAGAAGGTGGAAGGGCCAGTGAGAGCATTATCCATACAGAAAGCATCTGCATAGAACATGGGTGTGTCAGTAGACCCTAGTGGGGGAACTGCATTACATCCAGAACAGGTATACTCTTCACTATGAACTTAATTCCTGTATCATAGGTGGAATTGTATATCAGTGATCATCACTATAGCCAGCCACAACCAGATAGCCGAAGTACCACTACTTGAGGTGGGAATTAAGGGGTTTTGGTCTCTATCTCCCATGTAGGTTACTAGAGCAACTGGATCACAACATTATATATATATATATACACTAATGAGTGGATCCCAACCTGTAGCCATAGAGTGATGCATTTGAAGCCACAGGAATCACGATGAGAAAGTAAGCAACACTGAAGAAGCCCGAGTGATGCCCACATTCCCAGAAGAGAAAAATACCATCAGTGCCAAGGGAGAAGGAGAGGTTAGTAAGAGTCTGGCTCTTATTCCATAGCACTGAGCCCAACTGAGAGAAAAGATGAAAAATAAAAAATACCCAGACTGACGACATACTGAATTGAAGCAAGAATAGATGTCTCAGCTCTGAAAAGAAAGCCTGCCTTGGTCATTTCCAAAAGTAGAATCAGGATGTGTTGTTCTGAAAAATGATGCAATAGTGGTAGCAGTAAACAGTTGTCCATGGACAAACTCATACAATATGTCAAAACCAATGTGAAGTCAATGTGAGTCCAAAGGTAAAAACCCAAAATTGCAGTACCTGACCCTTGTGCACAACAAATGCTGATAGTGGTGAGACTCCACCACTATGGAAAGGTGCAAATAGGAGCCAACTGCACCAAATGTGGACACATACAATCCCAGTAAAAAATGTCAACTCAGATTGATAAATGAGTAACTGGTGAACCTTGGAGAATTTAGGCATGGATGTGGATGAGAAAGATCAGTGACAGGACACCAATCTCCTGTCTGAATAGGCCCAACAACTGACAGGAATAAAACTAGCACAACTCTCTCACAATCCCCAGACCAACCAAACACTGACAGCCCTAGAATTAAGTTTGAAAGCCTAATAATCTACAGGAGTTGGCAACCCTACTGGTTGATTAGTTGACTGGACACCAATCTCCTGCTTGCATAGGCCCAACAACTAACATGAATAAAACTAACACAAATCTCTTGCAACCCCCAGACCAACCAAACTCTGACACCTCTAGAATTAAGTTTGAAAGTCTGATGATCTGCGAGAGATGGAAACCCTACAGGTTTGGTGGATATGAACTGAATGACTAATCCTGACTCAAAAATAGGCAGTGCTCCTGGATTTGCAGTTATGGTTACCACATGTCCAGAAATGCTCAGAGCTGAGCCCTCACAGACTCTAAAGGTATAAAATAATCACTGAAACCATTGGCAATCTTAACAGGAAGCGGAACCCTTGGAAACAGACAGGATTTATTCTGGGTACCAATGTACCGAGGGGCTGATGACAGGACCCAAGAATAGGGGCAGAACTATGACTTCCTTTAGAAGCTGATGAAATTTGATACTCCAACAACAACAACAGGGAGGAATGTAGAAGCATAAAATTTAACCAACGTGCATGCTAACAAGGGATCCAGCTCATCATCAATGAAGTTGGTGATCCTGAGAGTCTTCCAATAAAGTGAAGTGAATGAAAAACAAAACGATGAATTTTAGAGTTGGAAGTCTGTAGACTTACCCTGTCCCATTAGAAGACATAGATTTACTCAGGTTAACTTCAAACTCCACTTTAGAACCATGAAATTTGAGGAGCAGAAGTATTATTTGAGAGCCAGAAAATGCTTCCACCTGGAGGTGGTAGGCTAAATCATGAAGTTCTGTCAATGTGTTATAAGACATAACTGTTCTTCATGTAACTGAGAAGTAAACCTTCAAGCAGGAACCACAATATCCATGGATGGATAGAAAAACTAAAAATTTGCTTCTAGACCTTTCAGCCATCAAGGAAGGAGCAGGCTCAAAAACAACTAGGAAAAAGCCCAAAACATCACATTCTCAAATAACCAACAGAAGGAAATAAATCAAAAGGCAGCTTATTCCAAAGTAGCCTTTTTTTTTCTCCTCAATTTAGGCTCGGTCAATCTGACCAACCACGTGACCTCTTTGTACTTGTTCGAAGCCTTTATAGATTTCATACTACTAACTTTTAATATATTTTGTATACCTTCCCAAAATTTGGCAGTCTTTCAGTAAACATTATAAGTCTTTCACATACAAAAAGTCATATTTTTTAGTGAAATATATTAAATAAACTGAAAAAATAGATTTGTCCGTGAATATATGGGGTATTTGTTTTGAATAATCCGTATGCAAAGTGATTTTCATGTTAAGATTAAAAATACTTTTTTCATCCCAAAAATATCAAATTTCATT